CGAGAGCAAATGAAGGTGGGAGGGGGGGGGGAGCTCATGGAAAAAGGTATGGTCAGAAGGATTTTGGCTAATTACAGTGGACTCAGGGACAGAACGGCAGCCAGCCAGCCTTTGTAAACTGTAGAGTGCAGGAATGGGAAATACAAACGAGTTTTAGAGCAGGGATTTTGCTCAGGTGGCTACAAGGGAGCACAGTCAGCTGCAGCCTCTGCCAGCAAAAGGGGAGGAGCAGGAGCAGTCACATCTGATAACGGTGGCCTGGAAATTTGTGCAGCACTGCACAGGAATCGGGGGGTGCTAGGTGTAAGTGACAGCCTCTGCCTCGCCTGTGGCTCTTGAGGAGGATTGCTGGTACCAGGTCTGCAGAGTGCTGCTTTCTCCTAAGCTAGGCTGCCCTGGGGGGCTGAGCGAGGTACTGCCGTTATGATCTGCACGCTGTCATTTGGAGAGGGTGGCAGGAGTAATTGCACATTTAATTCTGGCAGCTGTAGTGGAACAGCATTCAGTAATCGAGGAGTGCTTAGGGGAGCCCACCAAGGACCGGAGTGTGAAAACCCTCGTGCATGGAGGGTTGCATGGGAATCATGCTCATGAGCCTAAGGGCTGAAAATCAGACCCTTCCCCCAACGTTTTTCATAGCTTGAGTAAGCACCTTGGGATAGAGGAGATTTAGAAAAAGAAAAGGTTGTCAGATGATTTGCCGAGAGTCGGGTGGGGATTTTTGGCAGGTGTCTCATATTAAGCTCCATGCTCAAACAATGCAATTTTTTTGAGCTATCAGAGCTCTTGGTGCAGCAGGTGTAATTCCTGCACTACTCAGTAAAAGGTTAAGTAGCCATCACAGCCATGAATGCTCTCTTCCCTACCGATGATTGAGTTCAGCAGTCACAGGATATCTTGAAAATTATCCTTCCACCGTTGTCTTTCTGTTTTCATATTTCATTGTGAGTGTATGTATTGTGGAAGCTGAAGATGTGAGGGTTTTTTCAATAAGATTCCTCAAATTGCATTTGTAATGCAGTCGCCACCACGATGTCAGACGATCAGTGCTCTGTGCTTGTGCGCAAAGTGGAGAGGAATGGGAAGATGAGGTCCTCCCTCTACTCTGGACTTTGTAGTGCAGGGCAGAAGCTCATGTTCAGAGCTCTCAGCTCTCTCTGAGTGTAGCAGCAGGGTTTGCTGTCTTACCAAATGTGGAAGTGGTTACACCACCTCTTGTCACGACAGTATTGCAATGAGCTTCTGAGGGCGATGGGCCTCCCATTGGCATGTGCCCAGTACGCAGGTACTCCTGGTCAGGGCCGGTGCCGTGGAGCAGGTGGCAGCTGCAACATGCAACCAGCCCTGTTAAGATGCAGCACGCTCGTCTTCCAGGAAGAAGAAAATCCTTTATTCTTTTTCTCAGCGAATTTCTTTGATTTCCTTGTTTCTGGTCCCAAAAGCCAAGGTTGCCTTCTGGGGGAGGAGGGAGATAAAGTGTATGGGTAAACATGGAAAGCTGAACTTGTAAACAGTTTGTTCTAGATTTTTGTCTAGTTGATGTAGCCAGTGTGTGATGCATGGGAAACACGTGGACAGAACATCTCAAAAGAAGGTATGGAGCTACTCCGCTTTCACAGGGGCCAGAGCTTTCACATTGTCTTGCAGGAGGGTCCAGCATTTAAAGGTGGAGAAGTCTGTGGTCTTCTTTTTGTGCTCTCTTCAGAGTGCTTATGTTACTGAAGGAACTAGTCTGCAGTGGTTTTGGTGCTTGAGGCTTCCAGCAGTTTCAGGATACAAGGGTTGCTTGAAGGGCCTTCTAGTCTGTGCACATCTGTAGGCTCAGCGTGACCTCTCATTTTTTTTAAACATTGTGTGATAATGAGGATCATTTAGGTGTTTATCTAAGCAAACATGTGACTGTATTTCAGAGCTGGTCCATTGCATTAAAGGGACTTGGATTTCTGCAGCTCTTATCTTGTGCAACCTCCTCACTCATAACAACCTTCTACAGGGAATTACTAGGGCATACATAGTATACCAGGGCACAGTATAGATTTTTAAAGTTAGTTATTAAATAGCCACTTTTGTTTTCTCCATGTACAGCTTGGCTTGTGTAAGTGTAGGGAGAGATAAAACTCTGGCTGGATGGTGTTGGGAGTATGTGTTAGAGCCTTCAGAAAAAGTTTTATGGCAGATAGGGCTCAAACTGAATGAAGTCAAAGAAGTCCCGGTTCTTGTTTGGGACTCAGTCATAAAAAGTGCGAATTCCGTGAAGTTAATACTGCAAAATAAGTGGTATCACATTATACACTCAGCTCTATTGAACAGCTGAAGCAGAGATGGGGCGTCTTTGGCAGCGTGCAGTCTGCTCTACGGAAAGCAGCTGTATTCTTTCCTCCACGCCCTGGGAATAGGTTGCAGCATATGTTTCCCAGTGCAACCAGCCGGCTCTGGCCATCCACGTATAGGGAATGAAAAGCTCTTGGGTTTTCAGCCCTTTTGGGTGGGAATTTTTAACATGATGCTGTTATGTTGGAGATTGCCTCATTGGAAAGGCTTGGTTTGAGATGTTTTGCATCTTTTCTGAGCTGTTCAGCCATTACAGGATAGATGCCAATTCACACAGACTCATGTGAAGTTTGGGCTGCAGCTGTAAGCTGTGGAGAAAACTTTCCTGAGATTGAACACGTCACCAGTAGTTTTCTGAAGATGTTTCTCTGCGTGTCTTGCTATCATGTTCGGTATACCTTATGGGGGTTTTTGAATGTATTGGTTAATGTTTTAATCCTAAAGCATTATATCTAAGTACTAAAGAACTAAAATGCTAACGTAAAAAATGCTGAAATACCGGTGTGCAATACAAGTTCCATAGTTATAACACAGATGTATATCTATTAAATCGCTGTTTCACTGTTCCTTAAAGCAGTTCAACTATAATCTCTCTTGGACAGGAAAAAACTATCAGTTCGGGTTACTTGCCCAAGTAAAGAACCCAAGTAGCATATTTTGACAGCAATATCAGGAAACTCAGGATTTTGTGATAAAAATTTTTCAACGGCAGTGTTTGACAAACTATTGCTGAAAGTTATTTCTTATGTTGGCTAGATAGAACATGTGTGTAACTATATGGAAGAGGGACTATTTATAAACCCTTTATAGTAGTTGACGTTTATGGGACTTGTAATGCTTTTGCTAGCGTACTTTTGAAATTTTTGGGACATTTACAGATTCAACGTGCGTAACTTAAGAACTGGAATAAAAATGAAGATATACTATTATAAACATGCAATATATTATTATGTACATATGATATATGTGGAGAACTTTTCAGCTGTTAGAAGGTGGAACCTGTAAAGGAAGTGAGAAGCGAACCCAAAGGGAACTGACATGTCTGAGTATCACTTTGGACTCAATAACCTGAAATTTATTATGAATCTGTATTTGATAGGGACACATTGTCATTATAACAAATTTCTACCATAAAATACTATATGGAGAAACCTCGAAAGTAGAAAGTCATCTGGCAACCTACTTGCAGATGGGAAGGATCGTAGTGTGAACATTGACTCACCATCAAAATTCATGAGCAGTTTGTCATGGGAGCCCTTTCTGACATGAACCAGGTTGTTAGCTGTTGCTAAATCACAGGGTAGTTTGTGTTACGGGCATAAAACCACCCAGAGGTTGGATCCGAACCAGCAACACCACACCAGGAAAAAGTCATCAGATTATACTCATCTACTGCTACCACTGTATGGGAATAAATTTAAAACAGTGAATAAAATGGCAGAAGATCAATATATTAAGAACTATTCACTGTCCTGCTGAACATCTTTTTTTAAGGAGATAACAGCTTCTAATATCAATGACAAATATTGATGTACTGAGTTTCAACACCTGATAAGGACACAATGCAATACTAACCGCTTACTCCTTTGTTCTTTATTTGTAGGTCAAGATGTTGTTAAGTATAAAAAGTATCTTATGGATGTACTCTACGTTAGTTATAACATATATGCTACCTAAAGGTAAGTCTGTTATACACAGAACCATTTACTGAAATTCATTTTAGTGGTCCAATTGGTAGGGTATTTCACAGGACTCAGGAAACAACACAAACTCAGGAGATTCAGTTTCTGGTCTTGCCTCTGCTACTCTTTTTGCTGCACTGTGTAACTAACTTTGTTTCCATGTTCTCCTCATTGCCTTACTGATTTATATAGAAAACTCTTGGTGGGTGGGCATGTTCTTGACAAGGTTTTTACCTGCCTGTCTGATGTCTCCTGAGTGCCATTACAATAATTGAAGTAATAATAAAGAAAGTGCCATAGGATTACATTGTGTAAAGCAAAATAGATTGCCTTCTCCAAATATTCAAGAATGCATTTTAGTCCTTTTCTAAAACCTGTGCTTCTGAAATGTTGGACCTGTTGGCCATGTATGTCTTGCACCTTCATTTTCCATGGTCCACTAAGGAGCTCCTTGCAGTAGATAAGGTGAGGGCTGACAGGGCGGCTAATTTTAGTGGAGGGCAGACACCTTGCATGGGAGCTTCAGCCTGGTGCCTTGGAGGGAGCAACGAGCAGTGCTGGTGGCATGGGAGCAGGAGCAGGTCCCTGGGACAAACCTCGGAGGCTGCAGAAGTGGTGAATGAAATGGGGGAATTTTTGGGCTACAGGAATACTGGTTTGGCATACCTCCCAGTCAGATCCCGATGCATGTGCTCATGTATGTCGTACCATGGCAACCTTTTGGGTCTAGAGGTCACAGCTCGCACCCTCTCTGTATTCAGGGTGCAAGATGCCACGTGCAAGTGGGCTACAGGGGAAACCGGTAGCCCCAGTCTTGGCTTTGCTCTGTGATCTGTCAAGGAGCAGCTGGGGACATGCTTCTGGAGTGGGCAGTCTGGCTGCCAGCCCCCTGTTGTGGGGGGGCTGCCATAAACTAACCTGTGGCAGGTCCCTTGGCTGCTGGGATCTGGAGCAACAACATGTTATGGCAGCTGCAGGTCTTCGGTTTGGGTGGAAAGGAGGAGCCTTTACTACTTCTCTTGGTGATTACATGCTAACACTAATGTATGTATTCATGTGTGGTTGCCATGGTTATTTGAAAGTTTGAGTCAAGCCTTTAGTAAAGAAAAGATCCCTACAGCTGCTGCAGACTCACAAAATTGGGATAATAGCTTTCCCAAGCCTCAAAGCAAGATTTTTCTTGATTTTTTTTCCTTTCCAGGAACTCCTTAGATGAATTTTAGCCTTTGGGAAAATCAAATGTACTCATTTTTTTTTCCCCAGCTTGAACACTGTTGCTAGCAAAGTCTTTCGGTAGTCCTATAAGATAGAGGAAAAGACCGTTGTGCTTAGTGGAGCCAACTACAAAAAAGTGGTTTTTTTTTCCCCCAAGCAGGTTGGGAGCACCATCCTTTACTATTTCCTACCATTACTTCCTCCTTAAAGCTGGTTTTGTTTTTCCATTCTTCATTAAACATACAACAGGCCAGGATGATTAGACTTGTCCTCAGGGACAAGAGACTCAAAGCTTCAGATAGGGGACAAACCACTAAAACTGAGCTTCCATTTTCTTATTTGTGGAGGGCTGAGACTGATTTGGTTATTGTGTCAAGTGTTTTTTTCTCCCCCCAGTTTTTTTATTTCATAAAATGTCTGTAAGTGTAGACTGATGTAATGGATCTTGGATCCACAGCTGACATTTAATAATTCGTTCATACGAAGCATTCAGAGAGTCAGCTATTGTCAGAAGAGTTCATGGACTTGCAATAATGTAAGTCTACATGGTGAACTTGGAAGTTTTTATTTGATAAGCTATTTATACTTAAAGGGGGCTTATAAGAAAGATGGAGAGAGAATTTTTACCAGAGCAGGACAAGGGGCAACAGTTTTAAACTGAAAGAGAGTAGGTTTAGATTGGACATAAGGAAGAAATTTTCTACAGTAAGGGTGGTGAGATGCTGGAACAGGTCACCCAGAGTAGCTGTGGATGTCCCCTCCCTGGAAGCATTCAAAGTCAGGTGGGACAAGGCTTTCAGCAGCCTGATATGGTGGAAGATGCCCCTGCCCATGGCAGGGGGGTTGAACTAGATGATCTTTAAGGTTCCTTCCAACCCAAACCACTCTGTGATTCTAAGTTATAGCTTTCTTTAAGGCAGAAATGTCTGTTTTAAGATACAGGAACTTTAAGGTTTCCAACCCAAACCACTCTGTGATTCTAAGTTATAGCTTTCTTTAAGGCAGAAATGTCTGTTTTAAGATACAGGAAAAGGAAGAGCTGCTAGCAATAATTAGTCAGCTTCAAAATGGAGTAAATGGTAGTACATCACTCACATGAGGAGAGGTCTAAAGATAAGATTTTACCTGAAAATCAGTCTTGGGATGGAGAACATGTAAGGAGATAGAATAAGTAAGGCAAAGGAATCTGACAAGAAATTTAAACCTGATGTTTCTGTTATGACCTATTGAAAGTCTCTTCATGTTTACTTAGGGCATAGTTCCATGGTCAGTCTAATCGCACATACATTTTAGCACTAGATGGGATAGTCCTGCCCCTTTTCCATCCCTGGTGCTAGTTTTCGTGCTTTCCTTTGTGCTGACACTAGTATTTATGTGGGTATATGGCATCTCTTGCAGGTTATTTTTCCACTGGATCAGACCTGTGATCTGACTCACTGCCTTGTGCAAATGCTAGTGCTGGCAGAATTCAGGGATTGGGAGTGCATCACTGGAAGTGGGGAGGAGTGGGATGGATGCTTAGAGTGGTAGAACATGGGATGGCACCTTTAGATGTCCCCTGACTTGCTCCACCTTTTATCACCTCTTAAATGGCTCATGTTGTCTCCAGAGCAGAATTTTTAGTACTTAAGCAAGTTCTGTATGAACAACCCGGTAAGGGCTTCTCAGGTATATAGACCAGGTTCTGACTGGTCCTTATTTGCCTGAATCTTTCAGAAGGAATTCAGGAAGACCCTTATGTTCCTAGAATGCACTGTGAACTTTCTGGATTTATTTTTTGAAGTTGGGGGCCATACTTTTGCCATAGAAAGTCTTAAACATGTTCAGAGTATGGCCATGGTGAAGAAGACAAAGGTGAAAATTTTTTTCTTTTTCATGAATTGATTCAATAGAGTCTGTGGGATCAGCTCATATTCTTCTGTTTTGTAGAAATATCAGTCAGTTTGTGTACTAACATTTTTGAGCACGAGTGTTACAAGATTACAGACAATCTTTACAGGTACAGCTGTTTATTTTGTTTAAAAAAAAAGTCTAAAAATAAAATATATCTCTGCATTTTGAAGAGTTAGACATTTTAAGTTTCAACTTTGTTCTTTTTAAATCCTGAATTTGAATATAAAATTGAAGCCTTGAAATCTTTCATGAAACAAATTCTCATGCTTCCATTCCCACAATGGATTGGATCACTCCATATGATTTAATTAAATTTAATTAGTCACTTCAATATGATACATTGCAATATTTCCTTTAAAAAGCTCTCAGACAAAATTGTTCTGAAAGTTTAAAATTTTTATTTTGAGAGTCATGTGGGAAATTTGTTAAAATTAGCAGTTATTTTTAAAGCGTAAATCCTGGAATCTGTGAGTCTTAATATTAAGTCATAACGAAACTGAGGCTTAATTTAGAACACAGCAAGTTATAAGCACGCAAAGGTTTATGCGTTCACCACTAATCATTATTCCCATCTTTTTCTCTTCCATTCTTATATTCGTGAATAGTCACATTCATAAATACCTAGCATGTTTGCATGGCGTGTTCGTTAGATTTTATGTGGCAACGAAAGTATTTTTCCTTTGAGGGCAAATTGAGAATGGTCTTGCATGGCTTCTTTAAGACTTTAAATTCTCAGAAGATGTGTGTCAGGAAGGCAGCAGGAAATACGGTCTAAGCTTCTGGGGTCACGGGAGTGCCCCTCTGCGAGACCTTTGCTGTTTGCTCTGGTACATCTGAAGGATTAATGACAGAAGTTCATGAGCAAGGTTTACGCCTACTGCTAGTGTGGTATTTACTCACTTTGAGCTGGCTGGTGTTAGGATATTGTAGTTTACAAGCTGGACCTTGTGATTATGATCAATGTTGGAGTTTATCTTACCCGTTTTAAGTGACTGTTTGTCATGCCATGAGTGAGTATGCTTTTGTGAAAGCCCTGTAATCCAGAAGACAGTAGAGATCCACTAGATTGTAGTGTGTGATATGTTCTTTCAAAGGTATATAAATAATATACCGGTTTAAACATCAGTTTATCTGATCATGTTCTACATGTGCTATAAAATACATGTGTGCACGTCTATGATGTCGGCGTATGTTATGTTGAGTTCTGCAGCTGAGATTTACATTTGCCTGGCTTCCTGTGAGTTTCTTGCGGGATATGAAAGTAGTTGGTTCGTCATCACTCTGCACCTCCTTCTATTCTGCTTGCTCAGACCACAAATCACCTGGTAAAGAGCGCAGTGAGGGTTTTTGTTGGGTCTCAGTCTGTTACCTCTGCTGTCAGAGTTTCATACAAATTTCTGTAAGCGATGCTTCTTGCGGAATATGAAAGTAGTTGGGTCTTCATCACTCTGCGCCTCCTTCTCCTATTCTGCTTGCTCAGACCACAAATCACCTGGTAAAGAACGCAGTGAGGGTTTTTGTTGGGTCTCAGTCTGTTACCTCTGCTGTCAGAGTTTCATACAAATTTCTGTAAGCGATGCATTCATTTTAATTTATCATTATCTTCATTGAAAGATTTTTGGTTAATGAAAAGACTTCTCTTAGGCTCAGTGTTAGTAGTCAGATTAACAGAACACATAATTTCATTGATCTTTCTGTTGCTGCTGGTAGGCAGGGCAGTATACCATATGTCTAGGCAGGTTGTTGATGAACTAAAAAATGGGATTCAATTTTTTTTGTCTCATAAATTTGGCTTAAAATAAATAGAATCTTTTATTGTTTAAGCGTGTGGGTTTTTTCTGCATACTCAGCAGCAACATTCTGTTCAGTTAAGCTTAATTATGTAACAAAATTGTTCCTCTAAGCAGTGTCACTTCATGTAGGACATTCTTTTCTTCAGACTTCTTGTCCCTAACAGACCTACCGGTCTGGTAATTATGGTTAATGTAATACAAATGGGCAGAATTCTGTCCTTTTTTTTTTTCTTTCCTCTTTAAATGTCTGTTTTAAGAGTTTTGTAACATTTACAACAGAAAAAATGTACAAATCCTAGGGAAAGAGACTTTGTTCTCAAGCAAGAAGTTCTTCTGTAGCTTGTCTCCCACTTCAAAAGAAAGATATCAAGCTATGTGTCATTGATAGGATAAGTTGACTTTGCAGCTGAAATGGTAGACTGGGAGGACCTCAGGCATGTTTTGATGGGGACAAATAGCATGAAAAGGCAAGCTGGAATTTAAATTTTTATTTTTTTTAAAGGAGTGTGCCACATGCCATCATCCCCATGATAAACTGATACAAATGCATAGTCATAGCTTTAGGTTTGGAGAAAATAAGACAGTAATAAGTTGTGGCAAAATCCTACCCAGTAAGTTAGACCTGACAGGACTGTCTTCTGTCAGAACATTGCATTGGAGAAGTTTTCAATCTGCATTCTGTTCCTGATACTTATTCTGATGCTGGAGATATTTAATATTCAAACAGGGGAAGACAACAAAAATACCTAACTGCTAAGGTATGCTATCTACTGAGTCTGCCCGTAATCTGACTGCATTGTGCCGCTCTTGGCCCGACTCTGTAGTCCCATCATCTCCCATTGACTTTGCTGGGAGTTCTGCCAAGATATGTGTTTGTGGCCAGGTGATTTGGACTTAGCTGTGTATTTTATTTCTTTATTGTCTATGTATTTTCCCTAATTAATTATGCATGAGTGATACATACTAGTTAGCAACAGAAAAGACTGCTTATATTAATCGCCAACCAGCTTAGTAATTTCAAAACCATCCTCTTGTTTAAGAGTACATGATGTTACAAGATTCTAGGTCCTACGTGGCGAGGTGGAGATATGGTATAAAACAATGTTGGCAAATACCTGCTTTTCTCAGCTTGTGTTCCAATTGACAGTTACAAAATATTTTGTTCATATTTTTGCCCTTCATGTTCCTTGTAAGGAATAGTCTGTCACATACCTTTGATACTGGCTGAAAAGGAGACGTAACATGGGGTATATGCATAGGTAAAATGCTAAAGGAACAGAAGGGCTATATGGATTAATAGAAGATATTGATGCTTTCTGCATTGGCCCGTAAATTCTGCTTGACTAACCAACTTGGAGTGCTGCAAGAAATCAAGCTTTTTGGAACTGTGCAGGAACATCACTTAATTGTATGTTTCAGTGCCAAATATATATATTTTTTTTTCAGTAGGGAAAAGCTTGTCCCCCCCTCCTTCTCACCCCCTCCTTGTCCCCCCACCTTGTTCCCCCTCCTCTCGTCAAAAGAGTGCTTTTCTATAGTGTTTTATAATGCTTTCTACAGTTAGATGGGCATGTTTGTAGCTACATGGTCTCCTATTCTGGGATGTAGCCCATTTAGGCTAGATCTAGTTTGCATATCATGATGATATGTGTTGTTTGCCAAGGGTTTCAATCTGCTGATGTGAAGACACAAATTTTAAAGAGAGGAAATTTCCTCAGGGTTCAGTGCTGATATTCCAGATCACTCATAACCAGAAACAATGTTCTCAAAAGTTTATTAAAATTCTGTCAGTCAGGATAATTATAACTAGGTCATTTTTCATTTAAGAAGTTCCTGTAATGTATATAGATGACAAGAGATCATAATAAATACAAAATATTTTGAGACTGATTTTAATCTACCACCTGTGCAATTTGGCAGTAATTCCATCACAACTGATAGGACTGAGTATTCATTCTGTTTCTTTATCTCTACCCCACTGTAACTCAGTGAAGTTTCAAGAAATTAAAGGTGATGTAAAAGGCAGTGGTGTTTCAATACCGTACATCTTCAGGATAAAATCAGTCCTTTCTAGTTTTTAGCAATCAATTGGCTCTAGGTGAGCTGAGTTTTTATTTCCTTATGGAAATAAAAAAACCTCAATGGAATTTTTTTTCCTTAAGAAATGTGTATGCAATCAAAGCTTTTGAACTAATCTTTAGTCTTCAGTAACTTCTACCAGCTTGTCTTCAAGCCTTGTGAATTCTCCAATCTTCACTTTTATATTGGACCTGTTTTTGTCTTTCCTTGTTTTACAAATAGATTCTTGCTAGATCTGTGCCCAAAGTTTATGAAGTGATTAGTTTGACTATTAAATGTGAGTTGTGCCATCACCAGTCTCTGTTTACAAGTTAACAGAAGAATGAAAATCTCACCGCATGCCTGAATCACAGAGTGGGCATCTTGCTGGTAAATGTGCTCAGACAGTGCCGTTCCATGTGAACTTTTCAGCTGAGCTTTGGGTGCAAAGCAGCTGTTTTGGCACAGCACTACCCCATTGTTGTTATACTCTCTCTGGTCTAATCAGTTTTGATATAGTTATTTTGAGTGTATCTGCATTGTGTTCCCAAGAATTTCTAGTTAGGTAGGCATGGATGGAAAGGACCTGAGGACTTCTATTCAAACTTCTGGATCTTTCTTGGTCAGTCCACTTTTTTGTTTGTTTGTTTTTCCAGTTAGTACTTTATTATTAAAATGCTTGGCCATCAAGCTGATGATTCTTGTATTGAACCTTTTTAGATAATACTATTAATACTTTATCCTGTATAAAGCCATCTATCTCTGTTAAAAATAATCAACTTAATGAGCAATTTTTTCCTCCCCCCCCCCTTCTTTTTTTTTCTTCTTCTTTTTTTTCCCCCCAAAAATCTTCTACTCTTTATGGAGAGATGATATTTCTGATGATAGATAAATAGGTAGATAATTTTCATGTGCTGGTGTCTCCTATTTCATGTATCACTCTGTTGGTCACAAGTATTTGAAATTATTGTATTTCTAAACTTTATGAATACTAGCTCACTTCAAATTAATGATCAGCATGTTATACCTTTCAAAAAATGTTAGAGTACAGGATAGTGAAAGAGGTAAGATAGATACTGTTGTGCATCAGCTTTTAATCTTCATTAAGCCATTATGTATGGTGAAATAACATCACATAAAAAAAATAAATCTAACAGAAATCCTCTCTTCAGACAGCTGCTGTGTGCAGGTTGGATGAACAGTAGTCAACTTTCCCCTCAGGATATTGTCAGATGGAAGCATTTCACTGTAAAATGTTTGCAGCTGGAGATGTCATAAAAAATGATAAAGGTCCTATCATGTCAAGTCTGAGCCAAGTAGGGACTTTCTGTGCGCTTTACTTCCTTCTTTGCTTTAACATCCTGAAATACTTTATTTCTGCAGTGTGTTAAAGTCCCTGAGGCTACAGGGAAGTAATTTTAAAAGAATGACTATTTGGGAGAATCTCACTGGAAAGGCTTTTGTTTCAGCACGTATGTAATAAAAAGAGTTAACTCTTGAAAGAATAATGGAGTAAGGGACGTCATGGGCTATGTTCTACTCTTAGGACAGGAGCAAATGGACAAGCTACTGTGAGGTAAGGCAAGGTGTAAACATCAGTAGCTCCCCTGTATGCATGCTTTTGGCCAGCAATAGATGCGAGGTAACTCACCATCCTTCACACAGAGTGGTCTTCCTCCTATGAAGTAAAAACCCATAGCTTTTACAGTTCATCTGTCATCTAAAATTTCAAAACAGTTTCCGAAGAAGGTCAATAAATTGGTGTCTATAACAAATGGAGAAAATAAGTCAGAAAGCAGTGAATTAAATTTGCCCAAACAGAAAAGGGCTCCATCAGCAGCCTAGGATATTGGTGCAAACTCTTTTTTAGCTTATACTAATCAGTCCTGTTACAAATCAGCTAAGGTTCATGGATTTCAGGTCTTGCATGTCTGTGAATCGTTAAATAACAATGAAATGTATCTGTTTCTGATTTTGCTGTTGCACTAATGTGATTTCTCCTTTCTCTCCCCTCCTCTCCCCTTTCTCTAGTTAAAGCAGAAAAAAAAACCCTGATAAAGGGATCCCTCTCTGGAACTTCAGTCCTGCCATGCTTCTTTTCAACCACACCCACTATAGCCTCCAGCTATGCAGCTGAGTATCTTCGAATCAAATGGTCAAAGGTTGAACTGGATAAAAGTGGAAAAGATGCAAAAGAAACCACAGTCCTGGTGGCCCAAAATGGCAACATCAAAATAGGTCAAAGCTACAAAGACAGAGTGTCTGTTCCAACCCATTCAGAGGAGACCGGTGATGCTTCGCTGACTTTCTCTAAGCTGCGTGCAAGTGATGCAGGGGTGTATCGCTGTGATGTTATGTACGGAGTTGAAGACACACAAGGCATTGTATCATTGGCTGTTGAGGGTAAGGATTTATCTATTTCGTTTGTAGTCAACAGTGATTCCAGTTAAAACAGTAAAAGTTAGTAATTAATGTATAACTAGAGAGCATTTAAAGGAGCATCTTTAGCAATTTGCCCTTCCTTAACTGTTCATTCTTCCCATTCTCTTTCTGTCTTTTATTTATTCTTACGAATCTTTTCCAATCTGTAGCTCTCTCATTTCTCACTTACACCTTTGGGGAGGTTACTCTAAAGTTTTCTCAAACCAGCCCTTTTGAAACATGATACGTGTTGTACTAATACATCTGTCTGAAAATGTCAGTGTCCTTACAAGAAGACAGACTTGGCAGGCAGAAGCAATTTCTTTTTAATAGTTTGTGTAGGATGAAAAGAAGCAACTGCCTTGCTACTGGAGCTGTGGTTGGCCTGTCTTGCCACTTGATGTACAAAACCATAATGTCAACAAAACTGGGAGCCACTTTTTCTGTGATAGGCATGTCAGGCACAAAAGAAGAGTTTCTTTTGTCCCAGTAATAAAGGTTGGATAGGTAGGAGAAAACCCATCTGGCAGAAGCTGCAGGAAAACAAGTAGAGAGGTGGCTGCTAATGTTCTTCCATGTGGAGGATCCAGGGCTAAGAGTTTGCTTGCCATCACTATAAGGAAATAGCCTCCAAAACTTTGAGGGGGGGACGTGTACGTGTAAAGACACAGAAGAGACAGGACTTTTAAAAGCATGTAAGTGGCAAAAGGAGCATCTGATCTATAGGTGTTTCTCTCCTAGGAGCCTACTTATACAGCACGATAAGTACAACGTAGAGACCGCTCCAGAGCCTGGCGCTGTATAGCCCTGTCAGTTTGGTGCTGAGCCTGAGCTAACAGACTGTGCTGAAAGGCAGGACATATTAGCCCAGGCTCTGTGCCATGTAAATGCAAATTCTGGACCCAAATTACTCTGCATGCTTAGAACAACACTGTGCTGTGTGAATGTACCAGCTCATGTGAGCCTTAGTTTGGACTCTGCCTTGCACTCCTTTGCACTTAGGTGTTTTTTGAAAGTTCAGTATTTGCTCAAATGACTGAATCCCAAAACAAACATTAATATCAGCTGCTGGAAATTATGGCTTTGGCTAAGATTTTTTTTGTGAGCTTAATACTGCATTGTTATTCCAATATGCTTAACCTAACTTGAACAGTCTTTTGGCATTGATTCAATGAAAGGTTTTGAAGGTGTGGTCTTAGTTTGGAAATACAATAAATCAGTGTAACCATTAATGTCTGTATAACTTCATAAACTGTTTATTTCTAATGGCAAAAGCAAAAGAAATCCTGGTTTGAACATTACTTTTCAGTAACTAGTGTACCTGGCATTCTTTATTCCTTTTCAAGTGCTCCCCTGACTACATATCCAGGAGCAGCAGATGTTTACTACAATAAAATATCTGATGATTTATGGCAATACTTCAACTTCTGTAGTTAGTGCTCCTGCAAAACACTGCAATGAGATGAACAGATCAGATTTATTTTTTTTAATTGAAAGAAAATTTCACACACTCCATTTTCTTTCTACAACTGTTCTTTTCCATGATTGCTTTAATGTCAAAATGTCAGGAGGGGCAAAAGCCAGATCTTGACCCAAATGGTAAATAGCATTGTTAGATTGTCATTTGTGCACTCCATTCTCCATTTTTTACATTAAGTAAACAAATACCATTTATCAGACTCATAAGGAATTCATGTGAATGTTGCTGCTCAGATCTTCTGCCCTCATTTCAGTAAGGCTTTATGGGTTTTTTTGGTGTGATTTCACTTTAATTTAAAAAAAAAACCCCACCAAACCCAAAAAACCATTAGTCCCAAATGTAATTTATTTCCATTATGTTGTCTTTTTGAATCTGCATCCCAAAGTAATAACAATTGGAGAGACGTGGTATTCTGTACAGTCTTTTTGTGCATTCTTTGCTGCCTTGTTGTTAGCATGGTGTGGGGAGATCTTTCCACGTTAATTGCGGTAAGTTCAGAGCTGATGGCTAGCATGGTTCAGCACTGTGCTTTGGTCAGCTACCCCGGGTGGAGCTGGGGTTGGTGCTTGCAGTGCAACCCATGAAGTCCTGATAAAATTATCACCAGTTTTGCTATTCTGCACGTTTTATGCTCATCACAAGTGAAACATAAAATGCATTTGTGTAGCACTCTCTCTGAGGGCTGAGCAGGCATGTGTTGCTTTAGCGTCTCAGTGGATTACAAGTGTGCAGAAAAAGTGGTAACTCTGGCTCAGGTAGTACTTGCTTGATCATATAGCTTAACCCTAAAGTGAAGCAGAAACATTTTATTAAAGATAGGAAGCTTCTGCAAAATTCCTTGTGTGGGGCAATTTTGGTGTGGGAAGAAATGTTACTAAAGCTTCAGAAAACATTATCTTTTTCTTTAAGTGCCAACACTGTTATGTGTGTTAAGTCTAATTTAATAAATTTCTCAGAAATGGCCAAATGAAGTAGGCCAAAGCTTATCTGCATCATCCTGCTGAAGTAGGTGAAATTGCTCTTTTGTTATTACGATAACTTTATAGGGTTTGTATGCTTGTTTGTTTGGGTATTTTTAAACCCATGCAGAACTTGAGTTCTAGATATTTTCAGGATTTCCATTTGTTTTATGGACATTCCCTCATTTGAAACTTTCAAACAGAAAGCACATTCCAGCATCAATGAAGCCAGGTAGATAAGCTTAGACAGCTGTGCTGTTTATTTTTCAAATGAACTTTTGCAAGTAAGAAAACTGGGAGAGCTAACTTGAATAAGAAAAAAAAAAAACCAACCTGTAACTGCTATTTCTATCCTTTCCTTTGGGTATGTTAGGAATATAAAACTGCAGCTGAAACCATTGTGCATCAAATGAATGTATTTTACCAGTGGTGGAATGTATTGTGAATGAAAAATGGGATTTCTAAGAAAGACTAATTTTCTCTGTAGCATATAGTTTTTTCCCAGGTTAAGCTGTACAAGCTGAACAGTTGGTATTAGTCATGGAAATTAAACAGTAAAACTTTCAATGCCTAATTTTTTTTTGCCTGAGTCTCAAGACCAAGACTGTCTACAAAAGATGTGTATAATTGTTCAACTATTTTTTTTCTGTGTAGCTATCCCAACAGAAAAATTTGATAATTTGCATGTCAATATACAGTTAATTTGCTATTTTTAGATGGCAAATGAACTTCTGAAGTTCAGAAAGTCAGATTTATATGTTATTAACAACAGTATAAATACTAGCTTTACCAAGAAGATGGGATGTAAATACAAAACTGCCTTCTTTGATATGACAAACCTGTATTTTGGTGCTTCGACTCAAAATGCTTCAGCATCGAATCCTACCTTGCCATAGGATTATTTATATAGGTTCTGAGAAGAAGATTATGTTTTTAATATAATCAACTGTTGCCTAATTTACGCTCCTCGCAAATTAGGCCAAAACCAAACTCACGTCTACCATTTCAGACAAAAGATCTGTCTGTCACAGTGTCCTGTTCCAATGAAAGCAGCAATAGCTGATACCGAAGGGCAAACGTAACTGTTTTTCCTATGTACTCTGTTGCTCAGAGACTTGTCACCCATGGACAAAGGTGATGGCTTTATGTTAGACAATCCTGCACAGATTTTTTTTTTGGCCATTTGTTTTTTCAACGTATGTAAATTTTTAGTGTCCACAGCTGGACTCCTGGCTAAGCCACCACTTAACCACAGCTGGTTAAGTTAGTTGTTATTCACAAGTAAGATATACATGTTTAATCACCCATGTTGCCTTTGTCTCTACAATGCATATTTCTACTACATCCTTTTTTGACAGGTAAAATCTTTCTAAAGAATGGCAGGATCTTGGAAACTGCCATAATTCTGTGCTTGTTCTTTGCTTTGGTTATAGGCACAACCTATGCCAACTACTTGGGTATCAATATCTGGTTATATTCTGTTCACTGGGAGCTCAGACATCACCAAGGCACTGTGGCTTACCATGGTATCTTGTATCCGCTGAGCAGTGCGTACCTTTATGTGCATCATTAGCTTGTGAGAGAGGTGAAATAGCTTGATTTGAACTCTGTTTAAACGGCTCAGCTTAAAGCTAAGTCTGATCTGCCTTGTTTTCACTAGGGTTATAAGAGTGGTTGTGTTTGCGTTACTAACCGGGGTGACTCGGTTGTGTGTACAGTCCTGGGGATCTGATCTGGGAAGGTCATAGCAATGTAGGACTAGAAGGACATGCTGGGTCACTTAATCTAACTCCTTTGGCATTGCAAGTAACCATGTTATGTGCTGTGCTACATGCCTTTATTAATCCTGAAATCAATCGAGAGCACCCATTCCCATGGGTTATCAGGTGCTTTGCATATTTCATCTCTAAGATCAGTGGAGTTAGAGTGAACTGTACCCTATATGTTACTATTTTCATTTTACAGCTGGTGAAAGTGTAAGAGAGAGGAGTGAAACACTTAATTTTAGCCCACGCAAGAAGTTTTGGGGCAGCCAGATGCCTGCCCTGCTTGTTAATCGCAACTGCAGAGCTGTCCTTGAGGCAGGGGACAGCACCAGTGCCGACAGGTCTGCAGGCTCACGCAGAGGGGCAGTTTCATCACACTAGATACCTCCTTTCCTGTTACTAATTGTGGGAAATGCTTTCCTTACACTCTGATTGCTGCTATAATTACATTGACCTCTCAGACAGGGATATTTTGTGTTCAAAATGGATCTGACAGTATTACAGTGTTATATGCTTCAACTTCTTACAAGAAGAGAAATATGCAGAACAAGTAATTCATATTCGTTTTCCCTTGCACATGTTGTCTTCTCTGCCTTCTCTGCACGTCCCTCTGAAATTTTCCCTTTTTCTCAGGAGCAACTCTTCCTTTGTCAGCTCTTGTAATTTCATCTTCCTACAGTGTTTTGAGCTTTTCTTCTGACCCTTCTTGATGTTATTAAACCCACAAGTCAAACTGTCTCACGTTAGAAGTCCTTGGCCTCACAGTTTTTGAATGCT